CCCTATCCCACGGAGACATGATCTTGCCTGTTGTGATCTTGTAGCAAATCAGTGCATGCTCAGGGGAGTGACTGCAACAATGTACCACCCACAACTCCAAGCATGGTGCTTCCTACTAATACTGCCTGTCCTCTCCTGCTGGTAGTTCCCTAGAAGGAGAGTTGTGCTTCATGGGGCTCTGTAATTCTTCCCCCCCTCCCCTTCCCAGCACGGAGACATGATCTTGCCTGTTGTGATCTTGTAGCAAATCAGTGCATGCTCAGGGGAGTGACTGCAACAATGTACCACCCACAACTCCAAGCATGGTGCTTCCTACTAATACTGCCTGTCCTCTCCTGCTGGTAGTTCCCTAGAAGGAGAGTTGTGCTTCATGGGGCTCTGTAATTCTTCCCCCCCTCCCCTTCCCAGGGATCCTGCTTTCCTTGGTCTCCACTGTACACAGTAAACCAGTTCCCACCTGTGTCTCCTTCCCCTGCCACCTCCATATTCCATCTAGGCCCTTTTCTGCTGCTGAACACTGATTGGGATTGCCCTTTGAGCGCCTGTTCAACAGGCCACCAACACACCCACATACCCAGTCCCCAAGAGTCTCTCTGCTGTAGTGACAGGGGTCGTCTCCTTTTTCATAACCTGGTTACCCACCCAACCAGCCTTACATTCACTCCTAGTCCAGTTCTGCAGCTGCCAGGAAAGAGACAGGCACTACCGACGGGTTAAACATTAACAGAGCAACAGCCTGAAACCCCAGGCCTGACAATTGGTTCCACTTGACTGGCCTGGATGGTAATTTTTCCCAAGATACATTTGACCAGAAGTAAGCGGCAGTGACCAAGGACCCTCCAGCAGGCACCATAAAGGTGGTGCTGCCCCCTTCCCCCAACCCACCTCCACAGTTCAGGGCTCCAACACAGATGCTACCAGAAACATCTTGTACATCACTAGCAAAAGCTGGATTCCCACCCTTGACCGCAGAGCGGTCCCCACTCCAGGGCACATGCGCCAGGCCTGTCGCTGAGGTGTCACGTAGCACGGCCTCAGAAGCAGAATTCACAGCAAGGGACAAGAGAGGCAGCAAGGCCCAGGTTCCTTCAACTCCCTGCAGCTGCATTAAGAGGTAAAAGGTACTCACTGCTCTTGGATGCTTTGACCTTGGTCACCAGTTTCTGCACCCCAGGTAAATCCCCATTTTTCACAGCCTGGATCAGCTCCTGCTCTCGCCCCATCATGGACAGGCCGGCGTGGTTGGGGAGTGCAAGGAAGGGGTCCTCAGAGCCTGTCGGTTGATGAAGCCATGGGCGCCCACGCAGCAACTCCTCCAAATGCGCTCAGCGGGAGAAAGAGCCCAGCAAAAAAAATACGTTACAACCCCACGGGACATAAAAAAGCCTTTGTAAAAAGCTCTCTCTGTTAATGGAGAAAGGCAGCGAGGAGCCACTGTCCGTTGGAAGGGGATGGAGCTGGGGGTGCAGTCTGCTTAAAGATCGATGAAACAACAAAATATTTCCCTCTTTGAGGACTGACTCCCAGCAGCCCCAGGGCCCCACCAGACAAAGGCAGGCAGTTCAGAGGAGGGGGCTGGGAGAGTTTGTGTTGAGAAGAGAGAGTCTGGCCTCTTAGCCGAACCTGTGTAAAGCTCCCAGACACGGAGGGGTCATGTTTTGCTTCCTTCGCACCAGACTGAGCTGCGCTGATGCTTCCCTAATTCTTCCCAAAGGGATTATATGCTCCTTTCCATCGGGAAGGGATAGATCTTCTGTGTCTCTGCTCGCCCCCTCATGCTGGCATTCCTCTCGGTGGCACCTCTGCCAGCCGCGCTGCAGACCCCCTACGCCGGGCAGCGTTCGGCACCTGGGTCACAAAGCCCTGGCGCTCCTGGTACCTGTGAACATCAACAGCAAGGTCAGGTTTCAAAGGCTATTTACTTTCCAGCGTCATTAAAACAGCCCATTGCGACGGCTTCTGTGGCCACGCCAAAGAACAAATAGTTTGACTATATTTAGTCCTGGCAGGAGTCAGCCTGGCCTCATGTGAAAAGGGTTGCAGGCGCACAGGGGGAGAGGCCTGGATTGGAGACATCCTGACAATAGGTGATGGGAGGTGGGGTGGCTGGACTGGTGGGCACAAGCAACAGGAGAGCAGACTGGCCCCCCAGTATGACTGGGAGGGTCCAGAGCACCCTGTCCTGCCACACGCATGCAGGAGGCAATGGGGCCAGCAGCAGGAGGCATGAGAGCTTGGGCACAGCTTTGGCCTCCCCCCCAGCACAACAATTTGGGGGGCTCTCTATACCCTTTCTAAAGGGGGATCACAACCCTCCAGTGAGTGCCCTCCCCCCCCCCTGCATAGGGCCCAGGCAGGCAGAATGTTTCCATAATTACTAGATGAGGGCTGTGCTGCCTCCCCTGTCCCAGCACAGCCCTGGCCACGGGAGAGAGACTGCAGTGGGAACAAATTGGTTACAGGACTCAGAAGCAGCCCAAGGGAGCTCCACCATTCTAATGCACAGCCTTGGACAAGTCACTTAACCTCTCCGTGCCGTGCCATGCCCATCTCTATGTGGCTTTACGAATCCCCTCTCTTAGGGGAGCTGTAATTAGCGCTCCCGACCTTCAGATGAACAACGTGATGGAAGTGAAAAGTGTAACAACCTACTTGCAATCAGCGATAGGTTTCAGTGCCCATGTAAGTACCAATACGCCCATCACCTTGGCAAGCCCACTGGCCGGGGGAAGGAGGAAGTAAAGGGGACAATTGCCCTGGGGCCCAGTGATTCTGAAGGGCCCAGAGCTCCTGCCACTGTGGCAGCCGGGGCCACGGATTCATTAGCATCACCACTGGAGTGCGGGGTGGTGTGCTCCAGAGCCCTGTACTGTATTTTCCGGCCGGCGGGGGTGGGGCACCATGCCATCCAGACCCTTTCCAGGAGCAGGGAGCCACACCCCCTGCACATGTGGCCCAGGAGCCCGGCAATCCTGCCAGCTCCCCTGCACCTCGGAATCAGAACGTCTCCCCGAGCATCACTCCACCAGCCAGCACAGGAGCGTGCCCTGCCATCTAGTCGCCTCTGCTTCTTCTCCGCCTTTTAAAGAATCCCACTGACGAGTTTCCAGTCTTTTCCCTGGAAGCCTATTAACAACAGGGGGCATTTCAACCCCTTACTCCTTGTCAGGCCACCTTGACCCTATTGAACCTCTCCTCACGCCATGCGGACACAGATACTGCCCTCAGGAAGTGACAATGCCCTAGGGTTTAAAAGAGCCCCATTGAAGGGGCTATTCTTGGGCAAGGAGCTGGGCACAAGCTGGCAGCGACTGTACTCAGAGGAGAAACAAAGTGTAATTCAGTCCCAGCAAGCCAATTCCCCAATGGTGGACTGTCTCCATCTCTGCTGCATCAGGCGGTCTTCCAGAAAGTGGGGTTCCCCCCCTCGAAATGCCTCACAGGCGCAATTTCATTCCTATCCCCCCATTCTCCCCCTTCCCAGTTCTAAACTTAGATTGACCCTCCAATGAAGTTTTTTAAGTGACATTCTATGCAGTTCCTGACTGCTCTCCTGCTTCAGCCATGCATCTGGCAGCTTCTCTTCCCGCTGGCAGGAAATCTTGGGAGAAGGGGAATGTGTGTCAGAGAGGGAAGAAGAAAGATGGACAAAACCTGCCAAACTGCTGTCAGATCACTACAGTTCTTCATTAGCCCCAAGCTGGGGCAGATTAGAACCAGCAAGCTGGAGCTACAATGCTCCACTGTCTGCTACCCGTCTCTTGAGCCACGGATTTTCCTAGATCTTCCCTTAAAGCTCCGGAACAGCATCCTTGACAGTTTATAATATTGTGTCCTGCTGTACGGACTTGGACGACAAATCTACCCTCATTTTAAAATCAGCTGTGAAAGTTATATGAAAGTACCTATGATGTTAGAACCAGGTAGGCTAAAGGTGATGAAAAAGTAAGTCAGGGGCAAGACAAAACTGGCCTCCTGCACCCTCATGCATTAGCACCGACTCTGACTCTTGGAAAAATACAGGAAAGGGCAGGGTCAAACCAATAAAGCTAAGATCATTGCCTGAGAAGGGATACCCATCAACGCACATAAGCGTGAGAATTAGTGGTGCAGAGAGTGTACAGCACTCCCAGGCTCCTGACCCCATGCACTGCTCCATGTACCAGTGGCTCTTCTACCAGCCCCACATGCTGGGGTCCGGTTTGAGCCCCATATGCCAGAGGTCTCTGTTTCCAGCCACACGTCTGAGGTCCCAGCTGCCAGCCCTACATGCCGGGGCTTTGCTCCTGGCCTTAGCTGGGAGTGGACAGGGGTTAGGGGGCTCAGCAGTCCCACTTTTAAAACAGTTCCCATACCACTGACAGTGCACGACTGCTGGACAGTGCTGAGGGTAGACAACTCTCCCCGGTAGCACAGTGGCACCTGCCAGGCAATGACAGCCTCTCTGTTGGAGAGGGGGCACTGCTAATACTGTGACTGGCAAGGTGGTGTCTACAAAGACAATATTGGTGGAACTGGGCTTCTTGCTCCTCCCCGCATCGCCAAATGTCCTTGCTGCTGAGTTTCCCAGGGCGACTGATACGGATCAGGGCATGGAATGGAACCAGCCAATGCCCTTGGTTGAGGACATTTGGCCAGGACTCTCCCCACTCCTGGAGTCCTGGCTGCCATAGACCTTGGGACAACTCTTGCCTGGTGGACAAGGAGCTTGACCTGCTCACAGGAGTGAAGGGAAGCTGGGCTGCGACAAGGCAGCTCTTCCCAGCAGATGCGGCACCTAGGTCTGAGCCGTTTGGGGAGACCCTGGCAGACCAATAGACGCAGAAAGGCAAGGAGGGGGTTTG